CCACCAGCAGCGCAACGGGGTTAAGGTGGCTTCCTGCCCACCCTGCTTCTGGAAGCAGCTGGCATGTCCCTGCGACCCCAGTGGGGGGGGGGGGGAGAGGCTGTGTCTCCGCACGCTGCCCCTGCCCCGAGTGCCGACTCTGCCAACTCCGGCCAATGGGAGCTGGGGGGTGATGCCTGTGGGCAGCAGCGTGTGGAGACCCCTCCGACTAGGAGCTGCTGCCAGAGTGAGGTGTGGGTCACTTTCGGGAGCCATCCGAGGTAACCACTCCACCCCTCACCCGCACCCCAACCCCCTTCTGCAGCCCAGACCTCACACCCAAATTCCCTGCAGAGCCCACTCCCTGCCCCAGCCCAGAGCCCACACCCTAACTCCCTCCCAGAGCCTGCCCCCCGCACTCCCTCTGCACCCAAACTCCCTCAGAGCCTGCTCCCTGCACCCACTCCTGCACCCCAACCTCCTGCCCCAGCCCAGGGCCCGCACTCAAACTCCCTCCCAGAGCCTTAGGTAGGTGTGTGTGTGTGTGGAGGGGGAGGGGCAGACTTGGACCCGTTCGGGGCACCACCAAAAATTATACAAACCTGTCGCCCCAAGTTCACATACTACATTGCGGTGGTATTGTCGGTAAGTATGTGAACCGCTGAGCCCCTGATATGGTCCCAAAAAGCATGACAAGCATTGCTCTAAAGCTCCAGCACATTGATATGCAGAGTGGTCTCCTACTCCAACCACAAACCTTGGACTTTCAGCAACCCCACCTGTGCCCCTCAGCCCACCAGGGGGGCTTCGGTGACAACAGACCTGGTTGACAAGGGCCGCACAAAGGGAATGTCCTGATAAACATTCTTGAGAAGCATCCACCATTGCAAAGAGTCCAGGTCCAGCGGAGGGAGACAGACCAATCTGTGTAAGGAGTGAAGAGTTCAGTAAACTGCCCTGAGCCACGCTGGAAGGGGGTGAAGACATAGCCTTGCAAACTGGACCACCTGTGTGCCAGCAGACATGTGGCCCAAGAGCCTCAGGCACATCCGACCTCTCGAGGAAGGCTGAGACTGCAGTGAGACAGAGGTGGCAAATCACCTGAAAACAGACAGTCAGCAGAAACACTACTGAACATGTAGAGTCTATTAGTGCCCCAAGGAACTCTATTTTCTGAGTGGGAACCAAGGTGGACTTCCCGGTGTTTAGGATAAGACCTAGATGGTCAAGCAAGCGCAGTGTGGTGTCCACATGAGAAAGGACTTCCTCTCTGGACCTGCCCCTCAGCAACCAGTCATCCAGCTATGGGAAGCTGTGGATCCCGTTCTTCTGGAGCTATGCCGTGACGATGACCATGCATTTGGTAAAAACCCAAGGGGCAGAAGAGGGGCTAAAGGGAAGCACTGTGGACTGAAAATGCTCTAACACAACAAACCAAAGGAATTTTCTGTGGCTTGGCAAAACGGTCATATGAAAGCAGGTGTCCTGACAGTCCAGGGCAGCAAACCAGTTTGATACAACGTGGGGAGGATAGGCGCTAGAGAGACCATTTGCAACCTCGTGTACCTGATATATTTGTTGAGGCCGCAAAGGTCAAGAATGGGCCTTACCCCTCCCTTGGATTTGGGCCCCAAAAAGTACCAGTAGAAACCCTGACCTTGGTGTTGTGGTGGATCTCCTCCACTGCTCCCAATGCCATCAGAGAGCACACCTGCTGAAGGAGCAGTATCTTGTGAGAGGGGTCCCTGAAGAGGGATGGGCCAGATGGAGAGGAACTGGATGGCACTGCCCGATCAGACGGTGCTTAGGACCCAGCTCAGTAGTGATCGAGCTCCAAGCATTGTAAAAGCGAATCAGCCTAACCACAGAGAGGAGGATGTGGGGGGGGGGGAAGGGGAGGGCAGGGAGACCAATGGCTGGAACACGTCTCTGGACCAAGGTGTCAAAATGGGTGCTTGGGAGGTGCTGGGGATGGTGTGTGAACTGGCTGAATCCTGAACCCAACTGCTTCCTCCTGTGGGGCCTAGGCCCTTTTCCAGGGCAGTCCTGCCTCGGGGGAGCAAAAAGCTGCCCAAACATGAGCTGTTGACAATACTGCTGTTGAACGCTGTAATGGCCTCTGCACCACCAGCGTGTACACCCCCGAGGGCCATAGGGCAGCCTAGAGTCCTTGAAGGAGTGCAGCGTCTCATCCATCTTATCCGAGAACAGCTCTTGCCCATCGAAGGACAAATCCTCAGTGGCCTGCTGGACAGCAGGAACACCGCCTCATGGGCACCACAGGTGCCCTCACTCTGGCTGAATCATCGTGATGTCCAGTGTGGACTGCAAAGAAGCCTTAGCCCCAAACAGCCTTCAGTGACCAATGCCTGAAATTCCTCCCTCGAGGCCTTGGGCAGCTGGTCTGCAAATTTAAACATAGCTGTCCAGGTAGCAAAGTCGTTCTTGGGCAGCAGTGGCTGCTGGTTAGCAATCTGCATCTGCAAGGAAGAGGAGGTGTAAATCTTCCTGCCTGTTGTAGCAGGTGCTGCTTCAGACGAAGATCCCTCGCCACCTGAGTCTGTGTAGTGAACTACGTGCAAATGGAACAGCGCACCTTGATATGGGCTGTGCCTGGACACAACAAGCACCATGTGTGGGGACTGTTAGTGGGGATGCCCCTTCCTCAATGGACAATGTTTAAATTTAAATGCTGATGGGGGGCATCACCAGGAAAACACAACCTACAGCTGACAGTAACTTAACACACACTGTAGTATGGTCCTAATGAACCACATACAACTCGAAACGTCACTAAGTAGAGGAGCGTGAGGTAAAACGCAGAGTGCTGCAACTCCAGCCATGGGTGGTAAGAAGAAACTGTGGAGGGGGTCAAGGTGGTACCGCCCTATACAGCCAGGGGAGGGGCTATGGCTACACGGCATGAGCCCCGCCCCTCTAGGGGTACAGCTGGGAAAATCCTTCAGCTCCGGCACACAGGGCGCACACACTAAGTGGAATACGTAGCTGCATCCACTCAAAGACGTGAACAAAGCAGCCCGACACCCGTTCCCAGGCGAGACGCTGTCCCTGTGTCCTGTCACTTCTGGACTCACAGAGGTCCATGGAGAGGATGGTGGGGATCCAGCCCTCTCCAAGCTGCTGCAGAGAAATTCACACACTGTATTTCAAATAGTTTAATTTTAAAAATATTCTATTCAGTGCTAAAATATCTCTCCACTTCCACGCATAGCCGGCGCCTTCGGCTTCAACAGAGGCTCAATCACAGACTTGATTTGACATGCAGATCGCAACGAAGAGGAAACAGGTCCATGGCGTTGGAGAGGAGGGACAGGAGCTCCATGGTAAACAAGCCTGGGGAGCAGCTCTGACTGGGAGCCGGGTGAGCGAGGTGCCAGGGTGTGCAGACCAGGCACCAAGGACAGGCAGTGTAAAGGTGCACTGGGAAATGACGCCACCCTGACAGTGCTGGGAGAGTGAGAACCAAGGCCCCTGGGTTTTCTGGGAGAGACCCTAGACCCTGCTGTGTCTTTCCCCGTCCCTGAGGTAGACTTGGAGTGGGCCTCACAGCAGGACCTCCCCACCCTGAAACTGAAGAAACCCTATGCTGCCTCAGTCTCTCCCATGGGCACTCACGTTAGGAACCGCAGGTCCGTGCCAGGTGCAGAGTCAGCCAGGGACCTGGTGGCAACCTGCCTGGATCCAATACTAAGGGCTTTGTGCCTATAGCCTGCACCCTTGAATGCTGCCACCCGGTCGGGGGGGGGTGCAAGACGTCCAGAGGCCCCATAGCGCATGCCTGGGGGGGCGGCTGTGCCCTGACACACTCATCTGCCTACCCTCCATAGTGCGGGACCCCTGTCTCCTCCAGCACAAATGGCTTAAACCAACAGCTATTGCACAGTGTCCCAGCTCGGGATTCCTGCCCCGCAGGGCGAAGGCCTATGTCAGAGCTCCAGCGCTGGGAGGTCCCATGCCGCGAATGCTCACCTAACCCCTCCCGGCCCATCAGTGAGGCTTGTTTACTGGGGGAAGCTCCAGGACATAGTCACAAGGGGGAAGAGAAACTACTTCGTGCAGTGGGAATGGCTCTTCCATTCCCAGCAACTGGGGGCACGGGGCCCTAGACGAAATTGTCCTGCAGGGGAACAAAATCTGCTGGGCTGCAGTTCTCGCCCAGCGCCCGGGCAGAGCAGGAGACCCAGAGGACTCAGCCCCTCACACGAGCAAGCTGCATGACCAGTGCTGCCCCTGCCGCACCAGCACAGATCAGCGGGAAAAGGGAGCCAATAAATAGAGGCAAGTTTGCACGTACTGATGGTGCGAGGTGCCCTGGCCTGTCCCTGAGGGAAGGACAGACTAGTTCCTCTGTGAGGGGCTGGTGGGAGGAGCCCGTCCACGGGGAGGGCAGGTGGGCTCTGCAGGGAGCTGGAGGGAGGAGCCTGTCCCTGGGGAGGGCAGGCCGGCTCTGTGGGGGGCTGATGGGAGGGCAGGCGGGCTCTGCGGTGGGGTGATAGGAGGGGCCCATCCCTGGGGAAGGCAGGTGGGCTCTGCACGGGCCTGGAGGGAGGAGCCCGTCCCTGGGGAGGGGAGGCGGGCACTGTCGTGGGGGGGTGGCAGGAGGGGCCTGTCCCTGGGGAGGGCAGGCCAGCTCTGTGGGGGGCTGGTGAGAAGGGGTCCATC